CCCTATTCATCATAGGATATGGCCTTTGTACAGTTCGCATGGCTAAGTTTTCCTTTGGCTCTCCTAATTTTCGGATGTAGCTCCTAGGTTTGGTCTAGTGTTTTAGTTTGTGTTTTCTTTGGGCTTCGGGTCTGTGGGCTGAGGCTCGTGTTGTTTTCTGTTGTTAGGGCCTGGGGTATGCCCCTTGTATTCTTGTAAATCTTTCTGTTTTATATTATTTCTTATTCACCCAAAAAAAGCTACAATTACTCATAAAATTCTCTTTCTTACAGGCTAAGCATGGTTTTGTTTTATTTTCTTGTTTTATTTTATCTCTTATTCACCCAAAAAAAAAAAAAAAAAGCATGGTTTTGTTTGAGTTAAACCGGACCCATGTCATGGGGGTTTTGTCCCATCACTCGACCCTAATGTAGTGTGAACTCACCGACCACTCATTCCTACCATCTGCAGATCATAATAGAAGCATTGGTCGCTGCATAATTTTTTTGATTAGATAGAGGAAGATTCCATTTCTCAAAGAACCATGATCACCTGCCAGAAAATTTAAATGTCATACTCAAAAGAATAAGATGCCTACCCCTAACCATTGATAATAGAAGTTAGTAGAGCAACCTCTCTCAGGTTTAGGACCTTACACAAAGATCTACTATTCTCCTCCTATCCAAATTGGTTAGACAGTGCACAGAGAAAAAGACAAACCCTCAGAATCTCAGCATTTTCAAGGAATTACCAACCTTGGCTGTAGATTTAGTAGCATAACTCAACAAGTGAACCCAACCAAGTACAGAGAAGGCCAGTTAGCATACATTTGCCATCATGTCCACCCCAAACCCTAGAAGAAAAAAATTACCACCGAAGAAGAAGAGATGGAGGTGATTTTCGCCTAGAGCTTGACAATATAGTCCTGCATATCGGTAACATATAAACAGACCAGACTGTAGGAGATGTATGTCGCGCGTCAACTCCCAAGGCGATAGTTAACGATTATTAAGTAAGTAGCGCGTGTATAATTAGACCAAGCCAACACAATCACCAATTAACCCGAGATTATCAACGAGTCGAAACAAGCAGATTGATGCTTCACTCTGTTGTGCCTTCTGTCTAGCTGAAGAACTCTCAGCCATCGCAGCCATAAGGTTTAGTTCAATGCACTGCATTGTGCTGCTTTCCACTGGGTACTGTGTTAACCCTTGAAAGAAAATAATTGAGAGATTGTGATGAACGAGCTAATACACTCCATGTGACTCACACATTCTGACTGTATATATAAAACATAGTACTAAAGAACCATCATCAAAGGCCCAATTCCCATAACCGCAGGGTCTTAAGTAGCCCGGAGAATGGGTAAGAGAGTATTTGAAGGAGGGAG